AAGGCCAGGAGTGAGGGGGCCAATCACACCTCCGGGGGCAGAATGTTCCAAAGAGCGTATACAAAAGAAACCAGCTGAAGTTTTAAAAATTAAAAGGGAAATTGAAATAATAAACCAAGAGAATGGCCTGGAAAATGTTTTCTTACTGGATCTACAAAAGAGGCTTATTAAAGCCTTGAAGAAGTCTCTGTAATGGGATATAGAAGAATTGAAGAGAAATCAAATCCTATGATAATATTTGATTGAACTAAAGATTAAGACCATTAGAAGGAAAAGGAAGGAATATAAAGTTGGTTTATCTGCTCAAGCTTAAAATAAAACAAGATGTGTTGTTATTTCTGGCAACCCTTTATGGACTTTTTGCTGACACTAGGATTGAAAAGTTGATATTTTATAGATTTGCTTATAGATAAGGGATGGGGTATGGGAAAAACGGTATCTGTTTAACCTTATAGGGGGTGAAGAGTTATTAAATTTGTTTGTACTTGTTATGATGAAGATTGGAAGTAACTTCTTTATATATTTCTTTTCTTTTTCTTTATTATAGTCCCTCTTCTCTTTTTCTTTTTCTTTTTTCTTATATTTTTTATTCTTTCCTTCCATTCTCTTCTCTTTCTCTAAGTTTAATTTGTTCTAGTTTTTACTATTGTAATTAAAATTCTTAATAAAAATTATATTTGAAAAAAAATCAAGGGGGGGGTTACTTAAACAAGTGAAGACCTTTTCTCTGTCATCTCAGAAGACAGGATGTGGCACGATTTAAGTTACAGGTTGGAATGCTATGTCATGTCATAATGGTTACACAATCCTCACTTCTACCTGATGCCTACAGTTAGACTGAATGATATATATGGTCCTTTCCCACTCTGTGATGCTACAAGGAGGAGGCTTCATTGCCAGCGAGGCAGGAAAGGAGCAAAATGCTGCCAATCGCTGTCTCTGGTTCTTTTGATTTCCTGCTTCAAAAGTCACAAACCCTCTGTTTTCTTCCCTCCCACTCTTCTCACTATAACTTTTACTTTACTTCTTGGACAAAAAGATTGGAGAGGGTGCACACCAATTTACTTTTAAGTGAGGGCAAGAGAGGGTGAAAGTCAGTAGATTTTATAAGTGGGATAAGGTGAGAAATCAATTTATTCTGAAGAAGAAAATCATTAAATATGAAAAAAGTTTTAATTCTATTAACTGGATGGGGGGAAGATGCATCATTAGATTTTTCAAGGCAGTTGGGGTAACCATTTCTCTCACCCCATCAGTACTAATTGCATCAAGGTAAATATATACATAATTACTTTCAATGAATTAACCAACATTTGTTCAGAATTCCAGCTGTGCCCATGAGTCTAAAAGGTATGCTTGCTTTTGCTTTAGGGAGCTTTCTAAGTGATAGACCCAGAGGGGACAAAATACACCCTACTGTTTCCTTGTAGGTCATGAGATGCTGAAGAACCAGTGCCATCAGTTTTGGTCCTCCAAAATTCCTCCTCATCTGCTAAACTGCCAATCCACCACCCCTAACCTTGCTGATTGCAGGCTGTATTTGCAAACAAACAAGCAAGCAAAGAAATAAATACATCTCCCATCATCTCTCAAAGGGTTCTGTGCTGATCTTTGACCAAAAGCTCAGTGAGCGTGTTTTCCAGCACCTCTTCTGATGGGCAGCATTTCAGATCAATGAGATAAAAAAAACTCCTGTCATTTCATAGTCAACCAAATGGTTGGCACCCAGATCTGATAGCCTGAATAACTTGTTGCAAAGTGAACATACTAAAGTTCAAGAAACCATAGTTTAGTTTGACAGGCAAGTTTATTTTCTGGGTCTTTAACTGTTTCATGGGAAAAGGGGGGACCTGTCTCATCCTAGATCAGTCTAAAGCAGTACTTCCCAAACCTAGGTAAATTACCCAAAATTGGGTAAAAGTGGTTTTTCTTTGAGTAATGACACACAAACCCATTACCCAATCACAACAGACACATGACTTAAAGTGTTTTACCTACATTGGGTAAAAGGACTTTCTGATAAGCCGTTTTGGGTAATGAAGGAAAAAGTTTGGGAAGCACTGGTCTAGAGTCTTGAGATGGGGCAACGCATAAATATTGCAAAAGAAATAAATTACATACCAACTTTCCCCAGCTTGCTGCCCTCCAAATATATTGGGGTTCCATGACCATGGGGGCAGCAGATTATGGAAGTTGAAGTCCAGTGCAACTAATTAGGATCAAATGATTTAAACCAAGGTAACTTGATTTGCCTGGGTCCAAAAACACAGTAGTGGCTTAGTGTGTTGTGCAAACTGAGTTTGGATGGTTATGTATGCCCCAGGGCTTTTTTGCAAACCCAGTAAATCAGTTCAGTTAACCATGGGTAACTGTGTTGTGCAAACACAACCTCTGATTGGTTGATGCGGTGCTTCTCAACCTTGGCCACTTGAAGATGTGTGGATTTCAGCACCCAGAATTCCCCAGCCA